AGAGATACCAACTCGAGTGGAATGGAGTTGCACTAATTTTTATTATGATGCCTTTTGTTTTGGATTGCATAATAACATTTTTTTCCTTATATTGAAGGATCTGCAAACTAGGAGAAATGATTGAAAGAGTTGGATTTGGACGGGATTTCAACCAAGATACGGTATATTTTTTTTAATTATTCTTTTCCCGTTATTCTCATTAGTGATATTTTTCAATTTATGCTCAAATGCCTCCGGCTGTGCAGATGTTGTGGAGCATTATCCCAATTTGCGGTTAGAGATCACCCATTAACAACCAGGAAGTTTCTGAAATCTTATTAGTATTTTTTTATTCATTCAACCCACCCATTCACCTATCATGCATTGTCCAAATCCTTAATCAACATATATTTTTTTATCAAGTTTCTGCACTTGAGTACAATGATCAGTTTTTCAAGCAAACAAGTTGAACTTGCAACATGACTAGTTTCAATTCCAACTCAGGGTTACTGCTGCGTGTCTCATTGGTAAAATGTTGCATTTCTATTATTTTCCTGAGATGACTAAGCATTGCAATCTTTTGAGTTTCATTGATGATATTTCGTATCTCTTTAATTCAAATATTTGTTTGCTACATGGCATATATTTCCACCTATAGGTCTTTGCCTTCCATATGTGGTCAATTTGGCGTTTTTTGTTCGAACATGTAACATGGGAAGATTCTGTTTCCAAAGCTGATGTTCTTTGACTATTAAGAAATGAAAGGTCCTTTCCTTTCCCAAATAAAATGATTCTGAATGTTGTTTTGTTGGACTTTTCTTTCCCTTGCAGATTATCAACTTATATACTAATTGAAGTTGCTTTAATAATATCAAATAATTACACATCTTTATTTTACAGTGTCAAGATTGAATGGAAGGAACAGCTCGCCTCCCTGAGGTAAGTTTGAATTAGTTTTGAAACTGCACTGAATGTTGTAACATAATGTGTTTTATTATGATTACAAGTGAGCCCTTATAGCTTGCTGATTGTGTTTTGGCTGTAGTTTATTATAATAACTAATTGCTCATTATTTGTAATTATAATTATTACGTAACTAACTAATTAAATAACATTAATTGATTAAGAATAAGGAGGAATGAAATTCAGTATTAAATGTTTAATAAGGAAGTTTGTTAGAGTAGAGACATGTCTTAAATGCAGCATTAAATATATTCTTAAAATGCCGATATCTGCTGTCATTTCTTGGTCTTTGTGTGTGTGTGAGAGAGAGAGACAGATGCTCTTGTGAGGTGAAGGGAGAGGTTGACTGTTCTTGGCTATGATGATTGTTTGTTCAAGGACGCGATTTTTTGATCAAAATGGTGTCCGAGGGAGTAATGACCATCCACCACCTTCTGAACCCTCTGAAGGTTCTGATAAACCTGTGAATATGCTACAATTAAGGTGTATCTTTCTCTGCATATATTCTCCTTTGTTTGTTTTTTTATCTCTGTCTCTCACTCATATGTAGATTTGGTCCTTGTTTTGCGGTAGATCTTCTTCGTTTTCCAACTTTGATCCCAATTTCCATTCGTTTTAGGACACTAAAATATTATATATATCATTATGTTTTAAAGTTATTTCCCTTTATCTATGGTGTAGTATTGTTTTGATGTGTTGTTTGTGCTTATGTTTATATATGGTATGAAGTGCTTGTGGTGTCTTTTTGTGCTGCTTGTATTTTTATTGTTTGTGTGGTTTGTTTATATATTTATGTTATAACGTGCTTCTTGTATCTTTTTGTGCTATATGTGTTGGTTGTTTGTATTGTTATGCTACTTTGTTTGTGCTTATGTGTTGTGTTTATGTATGATCCGATGTGCTTATGGTGTCTTTTCATGCTTGTGTTGTATTTATTAATTAATATATGGTGTATTTGTAGTGTCTTTGATTTTATTGATTGGTTGGTATTGTTATGATAGGTTACATGTTCCAAATTGTGTTGGTGGTGTGTGGTTGGGTTAAACATACTATGTATTGTGTTGTTGTATATTTATTTTTGTGTGTTGTGTTTGTATATGGTATAGCGTGCTTTTTGTATCTTTTTTGTGCTACATGTGTTGGTTGTTTGTGTTATGCTACTTTGTTTTTTCTTGTGTGTGTTGTGTTTGTGTTTGTATATGGTGTGCTTGTGGTGTCTTTTTGTGTTGCTTTTGCTGGCTGTTTGTATTTTATGGTGGGTTGCATGTGCAAAATTGTGTCGATGCTTAATAATGTTGAACCGAATTGTGTTGGTGGTGTGTAGTTGGGTTAAACATACTATGTTTATGGTACTGTGTTGTGTTGTTTGTGCTTGTGTTTATATATGGTGTGACATATTTGTATTGTCTTTTGGTGTTGCTTGTACTGTGTTGTTTGTACTTGTATGTTGTATTTATATATGGTATAGCATACTTATTATATATTTTCCAGTTTGTAATTTTATGATACTTTGTTTGTACCTGTGTGTTGTGTTTATAAATGATATGATGCGCTTGTGGTGTCTTTTAATATTGCTTGTATGTATGGTATTTTTTTGTGTTGCTCTTGCTTGTTATAGCCGAATAGTTGAGATTGGGATTATCCCTAGTTAGTGATAGTGGTTATCAGTTTGGTGATTTTATAAACCATTTTTTAAAGTTGAAGTTAAAACTTAAACCCGTGTGTTTGTTTGTGGGATTTAGTTTTAGAGTTAATTTGAATAGTTGTTTGATGTGATATAAATAGACGTTGATGGTATGTTTTGAATGTAAAATAAATTTGTAGTATAATATAAAAAAAGAAAAGTAATGGTTCAATGTGATATTTTTTTAGGGAAAAAAAAATTAAATAGTAAAAACTTGCCGTAAAATCTACAAAAGAACACAACCTAATGTACTTTTCCGAACTTTTTTTTAATTGTTGTTTCTTGTCCATTTGTGTTCTTGCTTGTCATAGTTGAACTATTGAGGTTTTGAGAGTTCTCTTAAAACCAATAGGGGGTGGTTTGAGTGATTTCATAAATCATTCTTTAAAGTGGAAGGTGTCTAGATATTTTGATATTTAATTTTTGATTCAGTAGATTTTAATTTAGATTTGATCTTATTTAAATCTACTAAAATCGAAACAAGGGATATATATCCTAATCTAATATATGAATTAAGATTTAAATATAAATCTACTGTACAAGGTGTGTTTGTTTGGAGGTTTGGATTTTGAGTTGGGATTTGAATAGTAAAAATTTTGAATAGTTATATGATGTGATATAAATAAGCGTTGATGTGATGATTTGATGCACAGTTGATTTTTTAGTATAATATAAAAAATAAAAAATAAATGTTTGATATGATGTAATTGAGGGAAAAAATGGGGATGAATAATGTATGTAAAATCCAATCCTCCGAAGCAAACATGTTTGATTCGGAAATTTAAAATATCTCGACCTAAGATAAACCTGCCATAGATATACTCCTAGTTTTTTATTATTTTTCTTTAACTTCAAGTTAAGGATTAGTATAGAGCATCTAAGCAAAAGTATTTATTACTTTTATTGTTTTTACAATCTTTAAGTTTGTCTATCATTTTTCTTAATAACCGTCATAACAGTTGAATACACTTTGGTTATTAGGAGTTTTGAAATTTAAAATATATAATATTTAATGTCTTTTTTCTAAAAAAAAATTATATTACATTTAAAAAACAAAAGAAAAAAAAATCTATCTATATACATATACATATACTTCCGGATAGCGACTATAAATTCTTATGTTATAAAAAAAAATAAAAAATGCACACAATAAAACTACAGGCATACGCAATAAATATACTAAATTAACATATTGTGTATGTTTTCCATATATAAACATACAAACAAACCAACCACATGTAAATATACACACATATTGATAATAGAGTTAAAAATATAAACAAAACAATATTGAATCAACAAATGATCTTTATATTAAAATTTGTGTCCCTAAAATTTGAACTTAAAAGGCGCGAATCACTTGCAATATACATTTCCTCCGCCTATTTAGAAAGTAAATTTTTATTTTTTTAAGAGTTTAATAAATTTTGTATTTTAATGATAGTTTTGGTATGTAAAAATTATTTTATTTCTATTATATATAAAATTGATTTGTATTGATATAAATAAGCATAAAAATAAAAATATTTGTAAGTGTGGTTAGTTCATATATACTTAAAAAAATAAAATTTTGTATATAAATAAAAAAATAGCAAAATATATATTAAATACACGATTATGATAGTTTATGCCTCATACATTAATAAAAATTAATCAAATACGACCGTAATTAATTAAATGAGGCTAGAGAAATGAAAATAGTCCCATTTCTTTGAGTAAGATAAATAAAACTTAAGAAATAAATCATTTTCATTTATCTTTTTTCATTTCTCTTCTATATGCAGAAAATGGAGAGTAATGATACAGAGGTATATATATATTTTTTAATTTTTTAAAATTTTTTCTGTACTATCTAATTTTTTATATATATATTTTTAATATATTATTTTAATTTAAAAAAATAAAATTTAATTTATTGTTAAAGTATTTAAGTTTTATGATTTTTTTAAAAATTATGTTAAAATATAAAATATCGTATATAATTTATAATTTTTTTTTAAAAAAAATAACCAAAAATTTTAATGAATTTTCATTCCTTAAAACTCTTATTTTATTCAATTAATTATTTATTCTTGTTTGATCTATTCATATAACTGTATTTTTTTATATATTTTTCAAATTAATTATTATTCTCTACTTAATTTCATTTCCCTCCTATTTTATTCTCTACTGTCATTTCCAATTTCAGTCTCTTTGTACCAAACCCACCTTAGCTTTAGTCCCACAATAAAAATTTGTTTCTGCCTTAGATATCATGGTCTTGTTTACACAATATCTTTCATTCTATTTATTTTTTAAAAACAACACATTAAATATATACTTTTAAAAACACCTAATTAAATACTGATATTTTTACTTTTTCTAAAATTTCGAATTGTCAAAAAACTTGTATGTAGACTAAAGCCCATAAGTTCGAACAGTATGCACGTGTGTAATGAAACCATTATCTTATCTAACACTAAACCTCAATTCCCAATATAAAGAAAAAACAGAATGCAATCTTTCCAATTTCATTCCATTGCATCACCTTCTTCTGCAAAACTTCCGATTCCGATTCCGAAATCACAATCCAAAATCGCCGGCGATTCATCGCCGCAATATTCTCCTCGGTGTCGCGAAGATCCATTCTCCGACGCTCTTCCATCAATCCGCCGATGCACGGCCATCGGAAGCCCAAAATCGGGCTCTTGTCAACACGCCCGTGTGCTCAAGTTGGGGATCGAAAACGATATATATATCGGAAACTCTCAACATGTACTCCAAATGCGGCCACTTAAAAGACGCCCACAAACTGTCGAGTGTTCTAAGATATACACATAAAAGCATGAGTAATAATAGTGAATACTTAAATCATCAACATCTATCCACCAGCCAACGAGAATGAAATAAGATCGAATTATATATATCCACAGCTCTTGAGCCATCCAAGAGAGACAATGGATAGAGAGACAAACAAATATAAACAGATATGCAACTTCATAGCTACGACTTGCATAGATCATAGGCACACAAATTATACAATAACAAACAAACGATTGTATTGAGTAAAAAGGGATCAATAGACGGAACTAAATAAATATTTGCAAATTCATGGAAAAGGCTAAGAATGAAGAGCCAAGAAAGATGGATTTATAAATTCTCAATTTTACAAACTGGAGACAACTGAAAACATGAACAGCAACAAGAATCCTTCGAGATGCATTGTTTAATTCATCATTGACGAATCTGAATGATTATTTTAATCGAATAACCTAAAAACACCATCAAATTTTAGCAAATCCGAATTCAATGGAAAGATACAAAGTTATATTAATCGAGCAACCTAAACACCATCAAAGTTTAACAAATCCAAATTCAATGGAAGATCCAATATTATATTACTCGAACAACATAAACACCATCATAGTTTAACAAATTCTAAATCAATGGATTCAAAATTATACAAACACATATTCAATGGACAGATTAAAAGTTATATTAATCGAACAACATAAACACCATCACTGTTAACAAATTCAAAGTCAATGGATTCAAATTTATACAAACCCAAATTCAATGGACAGATTCAAAATTCTATTAGTTGAACACCCTAACCACCATCAAAATTTAAGAATCCGAATTCAATGGGCAGATTCAAAGTTATATTAATCAAACAACCTAAACACCATCAAACTTCAACCATGGCATAAAATTTGAACAACAAACCGCTCAATTAAATTACAACCACTCTGGATTATTGAACCCTAAACAAAAACCAACACCAATCAAAATCAAACATACACACACCAAAATTTGAAACCCTAATAATACAGTCAATTAAGTCCAAATAATTGGGGAAAACATCAAATCACAATCAATAGATGAACAATGAGCTCTAAACCCTAAGACATAAAAATCATTCGAATTAAAAATGAACACAATCAACATTGAAGGGGGGGAAAACTGAGAACCCTAATACCACAATCAAATCAAGTAAAACGAATTGGGGTAAACAGTACAATCAATCCATAACAATAGAGTCATAACGCTAAATTATAAAAATCAAGCAATCACTTACATTACTTCGAATTAAAAAAATCAAACAAAAGGGGAAATTTAGGAACCCTAATACCACAATCAATCCACAGAGGCGAAGAACACCAAATAATTTGGCAACCATAATAAGACAATGAAATCAAATAAAGTGAATTGGAAAAACAGCCCATCAAAATCAAACAAACACACACCGAACCAGGCAAATTTGGGAACCGTAATACTACAGCAATCAAATCACACAATTTGCGGAAAACATCAAATCATGGAGCCCTAAACCGTAAACATAAAAACCAATCACTCATTTACTGACCATCTGAATTAAAAATCAAACCAATGAACATCGAAACTAGAAACCCTAAATTATAAAAAATCAAGCATTCACATTACTCCCCGAATTAAAAATCAAACGAAGGGGGAAAAATTGGGAATCAAAATCAAAGGAATTGGGGAAAACAGAGAATCAAAATCAAAGGAATTGGGGAAAAACAGAGAATCAAAATCAAAGGAATTGGGGAAAAACAGAGAATCAAAACCAATCGACGAACAATTGAACTGTAAAACCTAAACTACTAAAATAAAGCACTCCCATTACTACAAATTCAAACCAATCGACGAGCAATCGAACTGTAAACCCTAAATTATAAAAATCAAGCACTCACATTACTCCGAATTCAAACCAATCGACGAGCAATCGAACTGTAAACCCTAAATTATAAAAACAAGCGCTCACATTACTCCGAATTAAAAGTCAAACAAAGGGGAAAAAATTGGGAAACCCTAATACGAAAATCGATCGGAAGGGACCGAGAACCGAAAACAAAAAAAAAAAATTTGGACCATTTCTCGATTTATGCGTGTCATCCTTGCGCAGGGGCCATGCTAATCTTCTCTGTATCGTTCCAATTTTATCGGATGTCCCCGAAGGGACGACCTATACCCTCCATGGCTTCTTCGTAAAGAAGCAGAAAGCTTTCTCTAATAGCAGTGTGGGATAGTTCGAGATGTAATTGGGCCTAAGAATTTATTCATAGCCCAATATAAATAATATATACATAAATCCAGTTTGGTTAATTTAACACTACTTTTCAAATTACAAATTTACACCTTGCAGAATCGACCAATCAAAGTTTCCCTATTTTTCTTGAAATATTAAAATTTTGAACCAGAATGGTATTTAATTCAATATAAATTGATTTTTATACTACTCTATTTTCAATTAAAAACTGTTTCTTTCAAATAACATATTGAATTAAAAATAAATTCAATAATTAAAATAATGCTAATAGATAAATAATTCAAACCTTAAAATACAAGAACCGCTGTTAGAATGTGGGTTAAAAATTGATCACCCAACACTTGTTTACGGCTAGAACCGGCAAAAATAAACAATGTACGATGAACTCAATTAAAAAAAATCATGTTTGGGTCATAAAAAATAAGTCCAAAATTTTTTAAGTCAATGAACCGGGCCATGCCCGAGCCCATGAAAGTTGGGCCGTGCCCAGCCCGTTTTTATTAAATTTAATATATATATATAAACTAATTAAATAATAACAAAAATTAAGATGTGGTGAATGGTAAAGTTTCGGACCGTCATAGTCTAAACATGCTCGTGCCTAATGTTTCAGGTCTGGTTTCAAACTGAAAATAGCTTAAAATTAAAAAAGATAAAAGTATCGGCTCGAATTACCACCCATATTTACTGCGGGTTGAGGTAGGCTAACCCGATGGGCTCATCATTTTGATAGCTCTAGGAGTCACATGGAGCACACCCAGAGACGAATGCCGACATACATATTATGAGATAGGTTAAAAACTTGAGGAAGCTAACAAGAATGAAATAATTCGATTGATCAATTGCCTCTCAAGCCACACCGAGCTCACTCAACACTAACTACTTACCGGCGATCATGAGACGAGGGCAAGGGAGTAGTCGAATGGCCCCAACATACAAACTCGGAAAATTCGACAAAGCTACATTGATAAAGATAAACAAGTCGAAACAATTACGCAACTCCACAACTATTCGAATCTTGAATTTTTCAAAGTAAAATTTGACAAAGTAAAAAATTTACTATTTGAATCTTGAATTTTTCAAAAAATTCTATTGTTTGAATTACGATATAATTTTGTCTATGTAAACATAAGATAATATAAAACAAAGAACATGATTCCGGTGAGTTTTTTCAATGGGTTCGGTAGGTAGTTAAGTGATTCCGGTGAGTTTCGAGAGTTTTCTGATGAGGATTCATAGCTTTTTTTTTGTGTCAAAATTTGGTGAGTGTCAAGATATAAAATGACCTACCGACCTCCGTCTCGAATAGTGGTTAGCATGAGCTATTCGACACTAGGCTGAGTCGAAAATCGAAATCCCTCTCGCCGGAGAAAGATTGAAGCAGTTCGGAGTCGATCGGAGTGAAATGTCGCTGTTTGAGTTCGTCGGAGAAGGAAACGTCGCCGGAGGAGCCATCTTGCTGGGTCTGTTGCTCAAAATCAATCGGTGACACCGTCGATCAGCAGGAATTTGATGTCCATCGGAGCTATTGCTGTAAGCTGCCGCCGTTCGGCGACCTAGAGCAATTGACGGAGGAATCTCCAGTCGGAGATTGAGAGAATTCCGTAGATGTTCGTCGTTGATTGTGGGTCTTCGTCACTTGGCTGATTTATGAATTGTTGAGGCCGTTTGTCCTCAATTGGTTTCTCGAATCTCCAAGGTATTGTTCGATAAAGGCCAACGATTCGGGATATAAATTTACAATAATCTCTGATAAAATATCACTTAAAATATAATTTAAACAAAAATTCAAATCTAACATTCCACTTCACATTAATTTCAAACTACAACCAAATAAACACTTAGAACGTTAACGAATGGAAGAAACAAACAACATGAACTCTAAATTTTGACTCATACCTAAAATTCTTGTATAAATACAAAAAATCCACCATGAGGGTTTTCTGATGAATTTTATTTAAAGTCGCTTTTTTATTGTGATTTTATTTTGAAAATGTTATTTATATGCATATTTTTTATAAATATATATTTTTATAAAATATAAGTTAAAATATTATTTAAAAAATAAATTAATATTTTATTTCAAATTATTTTTAAATCTCAAAGCAATCCTAAATTCAATTTAGATTATGGTAATTAAATAATAAAATATCAAATAAAATGTGTAATAAATAAAAAAAATCAAATAAAATGTAGTCTTAAAATCATTAAGGGCGTATTCTTTAATCAAATTTCATCAAATTAAAAAATACATTTTTTCTTTTCAAAAATATTTTATCAAATATTATTTTAATATCAAATAGAAACTAATTTTTACTAAACTCAATCAAAAGAAACACTGACACTTGCCACATCAAACTTGTTTGGCTATATTTTACTACATTAGTATATATTTTTTAATATAATATTTTAATTACAGTATATAATATATAATATTAAAAAAAATTATGGTAAAATATTTTATAATTAAAATTTTGATATTTATACAATATATTTTAAAAAAAAATTGTTTATTTTCTCGTGTTATTTGTCTGCTGTGTGTTTTCAATTGAGTTTTTTTTTTTTTGTTTTTAAAAAAAAGTATTTTAAGAAAATAATTAAGGGTAGCTAATAGATATTAATTGGTTATGGGGTTGGCGTCTAACTCATTTGCTTACTTTAATTGTAACGGCTAGTTGATAATTAAGGTAATTATATATATATATATATATATATGGTAAATTTTGATTAACATGCCTTAAAATTCAAAATTAATTAATTATATACACGGTAAATTTTGATCAACGCGCCTTAAAATCTTCTTCTAACGGCCGCAAGATATAAAATTAATTATTATTATTATTAATTATTTATTTGTATGTATATATAGTCTGCTCTGGCGAATGTGGTCTACATAAAAGAAAGTTCCAGAAGTTCGGTGCTCTCGGAAGCCTTGTATTTCCATTTCCATCAGGTAAGGGTTTCTTTCGCCTCCGGTGCAATGGCGGGATGAACGGCGACGTTGCGGCGGCCATTTCAATCGGTATGTTTTAGTTGAATCCAAGATTCGATTCTGATTTGCGATTTCTTCAAACTAATCGATTGAGTTTAATATGTTACCATGTGCTTGGACTGGTGCATCGAATTTGGACTCCCATTCCTCGAGCTGTTCGCCCTTTTCATACAATCACCAGGGATCTTCTTGGCAGCCGTGTCTTTGTATTTACACCAAAAGGAGAGGCAAGATTCTGGTAACTATGTTATTCTGAGTTTGAAATCTATTACTTTTGTTTCTTAATATTTAGCCTTCTCTACAGAGTAAAAATCTTCCCGAGGGTGCAACTGCCATTGATTAAGCATATATGATCCACTCTGATATTGGGTACAAAATGGTTGCTGCAGAGGTATTTTCTTGTATATACTCTGCAGCAGCACTCTGTTTTTGTCTTGTTAAGTGCCTGCAATTCTTGTGTCAGTAGCCGAAAATGTTCCTTTGCAGGTTAAAATGGAAACACGTAGTGCCCGACTCAATAACATGAAAGTATGTTTATCTGTGGATCTAAACAATTGATTTGAACACCCTCTTTCATTCAATTGAGAAGAAGTGTGAGATGTTTTTGTGTCTCCCAATTTCAATATTTCAAGGCTTTAAGTAATTTTGATTGTGTTTACATTCTCAATCTTTCAAATTGGATAAACGGAGCTTTCTTGGAGGGTTAGGGTTTGGTGGGATTAGGTTAAATTTGGATATTTCAATTTCAAGCTAACGGGTGGTTCTTGAAATTTTTAGATATTTCAATTTCAAGAAGTGATTTGGAATGGGGCTGTACAAGGTTGAATTAATTCGGTATGTGAAACATATCTTTTATATCATTTATTTTTTGTGTACTTACTTTTGGTTAGGAGCTTACACAGTAATTCAGGAAGCCTTGAGCAAAATGGTGGGAAGATGCACGGATGCTAAGATGGATCTTTAAAAGAAGTACTGGGAGATTCTGAATTTGGTAAACTTTATAAATGAAAGAGAGGTAACTCCTGGCAAAGCTGTCCCTATATCCTAAAATTTATCTCTTTGATGTCTTTACCTGGTTGATATCTTAATCTTTTTACAAAATTTTAAATTATCATTCCCAACATCTTCAAACCATTCATCTTTTGTTCATTTTTGAAATGAGATGAACTCATTTTTTTCTGAATAGAAGTTCTTTTGAATCTTATTTTCTATCTTCGAAATTCAATTATTATACCATATTCTCCAATTTTCCGAATCCTTATTCTGAAATTTCAAAATATTGTATCCTTTGGTCTTTCAAAACTTCATTTCAATTGTATGTCTACGTCAATTTCTTCAATTTCAATATTTCAAGGCTTTAAGTAATTTTGATTGTGTTTACATTCTCAATCTTTCAAATTGGATAAACGGAGCTTTCTTGGAGGGTTAGGGTTTGGTGGGATTAGGTTAAATTTGGATATTTCAATTTGAAGCTAACGGGTTGTTCTTGAAATTTTTAGATATTTCAATTTCAAGAAGTGATTTGGAATAGGGCTGTGCAAGGTGAAATTAATTCGTTCAGGAAGCCTTAAGCAAAATGGTGGGAAGATGCACGGATGCTAAGATGGATCTTTAAAGAAAGTACTGGGAGATTCTGAATTTGGTAAACTTTATAAATGAAAGAGAGGTAACTCCTGGCAAAGATGTCCCTATCCTAAACTTTATCTCTTTGATGTCTTTACCTGGTTGATATCTTAATCTTTTTTCAAAATTTTAAATTATCATTCCCAACATCTTCAAACTATTCCATCTTTTGTTCTTTTTTGAGATGAGATGAACTCATTTTTTTCTTAATAGAAGTTCTTTCGAATCTTATTTTCTATCTTCGAAATTCAATTATTATACCATATTCTCCAATTTTCCGAATCCTTATTCTGAAATTTCAAAATATTGTATCCTTTGGTCTTTCAAAACTTCATTTCAATTGTATGTCTACGTCAATTTCTTCTATTTTTCAATTCCATTTTTCAAATATCCTAATAATTCATCCTATTCTGTTAAAAAATATGATAATTTTTTGTAAGAAAGATTGAACTCATGTTTGTTTCCATCCAAAATCTCTCGGAACTTTTAAATTTTTACAAAAATTTTCCTTAGTATCTCTGATATCTCCTCTTCTCTTTTTAAACATTGGCTTCTTGATTGTTTTACCTGTTCTTCATGCATTTCTCCATTTATTTTGTTGGATTGTCAATTTTCTTTTTACTATTTTTCCTAAATCTATGAATAAAGTGTTGAAGCATTGTTGAAATTCCTTTTTAGTTAACTCTTTTCAAAGCAATTTTGGAAATTGGTGGGATTGGTGAATTAAGCGATTCAACAAATGGGAAGAAAAATCTAAATCTTAAATGTGCATTAATATATATATATATATTGGCCATTTTTTTTCCTATTTAGTCGAGCATGTTTGCTATTACAAAGCAATTGAGGTTTAAAGTTGGTGAATTGGGTACTTCCATAAACTATTTTTTAAAGTAAAAAGGAAAATCTGAAGCTTCAATATTGTTTTTTCAAAAAAATGTTGATTATTAAAAATTTATTGGTCATATTTTTTCCTCATTGATCTTGCCTGTTTACTATTACAAAATAATTAAGGTTTTAAAATTTCCCTTAATTAACGGTTATAGTGAATTGGGTGATTCCATAAATTATTTCTTAAAATGAAAGGGGAAATCTAAAGCTTTAATATTGCCTTTTCAAATTCTTTTTGATTATAAAAAAAATATTGGCCAATCTTTTTTACTCGTTAGTCTTGCCTGTTTACTATTACAAAACAATTGAGATTTCAAAATTTTACTGAAGGTGACAGTGAATTGGGTGATTCCATAAACTATTTTTTAAAGTGAAAAAAGGGAAATCTAAAGCTTCAATATTGTTTTTTCAAATTCTTTTTGATTATTAAAAAATATTGGCCATCTTTTTTTCTCGTTAGTCTTGCCTGTTTACTATTACAAAACAAAAAAAGTTTTAAAAATACTGACGGTGATAGTGAATTGGGTGATTCCATAAACTATTTCTTAAAGTGAAAAGGGAAATTTAAAGCTTCAATATTTTTTGCTTTTTCGAATTCTTTTTGGTTATTAAAAAAATATTGGCCATATTTTTTCCTTCTTGCCTGTTTATGATTACAAAACAATTGAGGTTTTGAATTTCCCTTAATACTAACGGTGATAGTGAATTGGGTGATTACATAAACTATTTATTTTCCTCATTAGTCTTGCCTATTTACTATTAAGAAACAAGTGAGGTTTTGAAATTTCTCTGGGTGATTCCATGAACTATTTATTAAAATGAAAAGGGGAATTTAAAGTTTCAATAATGCTTTTTCAAATTCTTTTTGGTTATTTTTTCTTATCTTTGTTACTCTTTCTTGCTATAGCTGAAGAGTTGAGGTTTGGGTTCGTTCTCCCTTAATACTGTGATGGTGAGTTGGATGATTCTACAAACCATTTTCTAAAATTGAAAGGTGAAACATAAACCTTAGATGTGATTTTTCAAATTTTCTTTTTATTGTTGCTTCTTCTCCCTTTGTTACTTCTGCCCGTCATAGTTAAACGAGTGAAGTTTTGAGAGTTCTCTTTAAAACTAATTGGATGGTGGTTTGGGTGATTCCAAAACCATTTGTTATAGTAGAAGGAAAAATTTACACATTAAATGTTCTTTTTCAAGAAAATTTCACTACCTTGTTCAACCAATTTTGATTCTTGGTGTTTTGCAAATATAATGTATCGTGTTGTGAGTACTTCTGTGTTGTGTTTATTTCTATTTTTGTATGTATTAGTTCTAATTAATGTTGTTAAGGATCTATGATAATATACTTTTCAAATTTTCTTTTAAATTCCTTTGGTAAAGAAGAGGAATATGGATAATTCATCTGGATTTGCTGCTGGAGACACCAACTCAAATGGACTGAACTTAATGAAACCCACCAAAAATCAGGTAGTTTTCGAATCCTAATCTATTATAATAATTCATTCATTTATCATGCACTGCACTTACACGTGTTTAATGCATTTTTCTATTCATCAGTATTGTGTATTAGCTATTTTTTAAGATTTGTATGTAAGCTTCTACAAAAATGAGAAGAACTTTTATGCAGAGTGATTGATTTGGATGTGCTTTCAACCAAATGATGGTGTTTTCTTTTATTAATTTTTTGACTTTATTAAGTATCTATTGACATATATTTTCTAAAACTCTTTAAATACCTTAGGTGAGCTGGGTGTAGTGGACTATTCATTCGGATTTGCGGCTGGAGAGATTCCAACTTAAGTGGAATGGAGTTGCACTAATTTTTATTATGATGCTTTTTGTTTTGGATTGCATAATAACAATTTTTTTTTTTTTTTATTTTTTTCTTATAACGAAGGAACTGCAAACTAGGAGAAGTGATTGAGAGGGTTGCATTTGGAAGGGTTTTCGACCAAGACATGGTATATTTTTTTATTATTCTTTTTCCATAATTATCTCTAGTGATATTTTTCAATTTATGTTCAAATACCTCCGGCGGTGCAGATGTTGTCGAGCATTTAGCCCGATTTGCGGTTAGAGATCACCCATTAACAACCCACCCATTCACATATCATGCATTGTCCAAATCTTTAATTAATATATAATTTTTTTATAAGTTTTTGTTAGAGTCAATTTTTCAAGCAAACAAATTTAACTTGCAACATAACTCTAGTTTCAATTCCAATTCAGGGTTGCTGCAGCGTGTCTCATTGGTAAAATGTTGCATTTCTATTATTTTCCTGAGATGAGTAAGCATTACAATCTTTCGAGTTTCATTGATGATGTTTCATATCTCTTTAGTTCAAATATTTGTTTGCTACATGGCATATATTTCCACCTATAGGTCTTTGCCTTCCATATGTTGTCAATTTGGTGTTTTTAGTTCGACCATGTAACATGGAAAGATTCTGTTTCCCGAAGCTGATGTGCTGTGACTCATAAGAAATGAAAGGTCCTTTCCTTTCCTAAATAAAATGATTCTGAATGTTGTTTTGTTGGACTTTTCTTTCCCTTGTAGATTATCAACTTATATACTTGTTTTAATAGATATTTTCTAATTCTCACTTTCCTTACATTGTCAAGATTGAATGGAAGGAACAGCTCGCCTCCCTGGATAAGATTGAATTAGTTTTTAAACTACATTGAATGCTATAACATAATGTATTTTATTATGATATGTTATTATGATTACAAATGAGCCCTTATAGCTTGCTGATTGTTTTGGCTGTAGTTTATTATAATAATTAATTGCCTCATTATTAGTAATTATAATTATTATGTAACTAACTAATTAAATAGGTGAAGAACAAGGAGGAATTAAATTCAGTATTAAATGTTTAATAAGGAAGTTTGTTAGAGTAGAGACATGTCTTAAATGCAGCATTAACGTTTTATCCTGTTTTAAAGATCTTATCTTATATTTGAGTTTGAAAGATCAAACAATGGGCTGAAGAGGCTTTGCAGATATTTTGTGCTTGATCCTCGGTGACCTAATTACTTAGATAATTAGGTCTTGCAGATGTTAACAATTAAAAATTATGAGTAGTCTGATGCCGGAGCCTTGGTCATCCCATGCATGATACTTACGTCCTGTACTGAAAATCATACCAATTCAGATTGAGCCAAGAGCAGCAAAGCAGAGGGAATGGAAGCTGCTTCCACCTCAGGTAATCCTCCGAACTCCTGTTTGCCATTTAGTCTCTCTATTTCCTAATTAATCAAGCATAAAAATTACCGTATGATTTTTGAAATCTCTAACAAACTCTTTTAATGCCAATTTCCTAACATAAACATGTAACAAACCTATTTTAAAACCAATAAGAAATTCTTTCTTAAGCCAATTTCCTAGTTTAAGCTCTAATAATACATTTGATTTCAATTTAATTGTAATTTAGCTTATGTGATTGCAGAAATTTAGGTATTATATTGTTACTATGTAATAACTTTTTATATAGTTGTTTAGCCCAACATCTAGACAAAAATAAGAATGCCACGCTCTCTCGTGTTTCTCTTTCTTGATATTGGAAGAACTGATTAATCCAATGTGACTAGATAAGATAGAACGAGGAGAATGGAAGAATACTTGATGCAGCTTCTCACCATTGAAATGAAGCTTCATATTTTCATGAGATTTTCAAATTCTTCATATCAATGCTTTCTATAAAATTTTAAAGTAATCTTCCCTTTATCTTTTCAAAAATTATATCACTTATGTTTTAAAGTAATCTTCCTTTTATTTGTTGTGTAGTATTGTTTTGATGTGTTGTTTGTGCTTGTGTTTATATACGGTATGACGTATTTGTGGTGTCCTTTTGTGCTGCTTGTATTTTGTTGTTTGTGTTTGTGTAGTGTGTGGTGTGTTTATATATTTATGTTATAGCGTGCTTCTTGTATCTTTTTGTGCTACATGTGTTGGTTGTTTGTATTGTTATGCTACTTTGTTTGTGTTTATGTATCATGTGATGTGCTTGTGGTGTCTTTTTATGTTTGTGTTGTGTTTATTAATATATGGCGTGTTTGAAGTGTCTTTGCTTTTATTGATTGGTCGGTATTGTTATGGTGTGTTGCATGTTCTAAATTGTGTTGCGGTGTGTGGTTTGGCTAAACATACTATGCTTATGGTGTTGGGTTGTTTTGTTTGTGCTTGTGTCATGTTTGTGGTGTCTTTTTGTGCTAAACATACTATGCTTATGGTCGGTATTGTTATGGTGTGTTACATGTTCCAAATTGTTTTGTTTTGTTTGTATGTTTAACTCTATTATTAATGTACTTCTATATGCGCATGGGGTTGGTTTGTGTGTGTATACTTGTATTTTATATATAGAAACATACCATACACAATAAAATTGTAGTATGTTCATTTATGCTTGCACAATAAAATTAATTTTATTGTGTTGTATGTTTGTATATATATATAAAACATACCATACACAATAAAATTGTAGTATGTTCATTTAGTAGGTTTATTGTGTATGTTTGCGCAATAAAATTGATTTTATTGTGTGTATGTTTTGTGTGTATATAGAGAACATACCACAACGCTCCAATCTTACTCCAAAATTCGTACCTACTGGTTTGAAGCCAATCCAAAATTCTGCCTTGTTTTTATAAAATACTAGCACAACTACCCGTGCGTGAAATTAATAAAAATTATAATATAATAATATATATAATTCAAGATTTAAAAAAAAAAAATTAATCAATAATCAACCAAAAAATTGCAAAATTTTATCTATGAAATAAATGACAATTAGAATATTTTTAAAATTTAATAAAAAATAAAATAAATTAATCAATTTTTAATTAATTTGCAAAATATGTGACAATTGAAATATTTATAAAATATACTAAAATAAAATCATATAAAATTATTTATACGATAATATATAAATTTAAAATTAAAAGGAAAAATTAATCAACAATCAATAAAAAAAATTACAAAATTTTATCTATGAAATAATGACAATTAAAATATTTGTAAAATTTAATAAAAATAAAATAAATTAATCAATTTTTAATTAATTTGCAGAACATGTGACAATTGAAATATTTATAAACTATACTAAAATAAAATCATATAAAATTATAAGAAAAAATAAAAGTAAAAAAATAAAAATAAATACTCATAAAATTGATATTTTCTAAAAAAAAATGATAAAATTAAACATAAAAAAATCAAAAGCAATATAATAAGAAAATATTTTATAAACTTAAAACTAAAAAAAAAAATATGCACATAATTATTCTATGTCAAAAAATTATAAAATATTATAACAATGACATCCGAAAAATCACATATACTTCATATTTACATCTTCATTTGTACAAAAAAAAAAAATAATAAAATTGTTTTCTTCATCTTTACCAAAAATAAAGTAAGTATCGGTAGTATTTGTACAAAAAAAAAACAAAAAATTATTGTTATTTTTCTTTTTCGTTCCTTCTGTATACCTAAAAATTTTGAAAAAAAAAAATTATAAAATTAACAAACATAGTATTAATATTTTAACAAAAATATTAGAACATTACCACTAACAAAATAATACACATAAATACTAAAATAAATAAGTAAATATATGTATACAAATAAAAAATAATTCAAAAATAATTAATTAATGTATATAATATTTCTAACTAACACAAAATATTTGAATATTATAGAAAGTTATGCAAATAGTTAAGTGTGTAAAATCAAAAATAAAATTTAATCTAATAATTTTTTCATATTTATATATAGTTAACAACATTTATCCAAATATTATAAAATAATTATAAATATAAAATCAAAATAAATATAAAAATTTAAAAAGCTTATCTAATCTAATGATTTGGACATCTTTCTGCCTTAAAATTGTACTCTCTCCCAAAACGTCAAAGTAAATACAAAATTATTAATTATAGAATGAAAGATAAATTACAATAGCAATGATTGTTCTATTAACATATCTCAACAAATAGATAGAATAAATAAATAAGAAAAAAAACAAAAAATAAAATGAAAGATAAATTACAGTGCAATCGATTGTTCTATTAACATATTTCAACATTATGCCGAGAAACGTTTTGCTTCTGCAAAATAATAGAAAAAAACAAAATTTAGTAAACAAAAAACAAATAAAATATGAACAATAAGAATGATAAAAAAATCCGTGAAAAAACCTGTAAAAAAATTAAGAATATGAGTTCCAAAGCAAACGAGTATAAATTTAAAAGTAAAAAACTTTTAAAATTTTGTTAGTGCATAAATTAGACACTGATCTCAAATATATATATATATATATATATAATATAGATCATGAAAATTATATCATCCCACCACCCATTTTCTCTAATAGCACCACCTCTCTCTATCACTTTTATCAAATAACTGTAATTATAAAAAATGAAAAAAAAATCAAAACATAAAAAAAATAATAAATAAATAAAAAAATTATTGAGCTCTTATATATATATATATATGATATGATATGATGTGATAGTGTATATTAAATATTTTAAAATTTAAAACTCTCAATCACCAACGCATTTTCAACCAAAAAAAAGAAAAGAGAAAACTACGTCGTTTTCAACGGTGATGATAGCGATTTGAAAAAATGATAGACAAAGGTAAAGATTGTAACTTTTTTTTTAAAAAAAATAAAAGGTAATAAACGGAAAGTTTAAAAAGTTATAAATATATTTATTTTTATAATTATTAATTTCAGTAAATTTAGGACAGATTTAATATTTTAAAACTCATAACTCTTTGAATACAAAATAATTGAAGTCGAATCTAAATCCAAGGCAGGTCCGCGGTTAATTAGAGCCGTCTTAACTGTTATCTCTACATAAAACCAAAAGTTTATTTACTTCATTTTATTTATATTCTTTAAAAAATAAATATATTAAATAATAATAATAAGATTTTTTAAAAATTTTGAAATAATTCATAAAATCTAACACATGTAAAATAAATTTCTTTTCATAAAAAGTAATTTCAATTTTGTAATGATAATATAACAATTTGATGACACTTGAGTTTGTACGTATAAATAATTAGAGGAGAAAAAAAATAGAGAAAATCTCTAGGGTTGTGATTGTCTTTTTATTATTATTTAAAAAATTATATAATTTTCAATATAATAGGTCAAATTTTCAAATATAATATATGCAGTTATTATTTAAAAACATAATCAAATAAACTTAGAGTGGGATAAGAGTGTTTTTTTTTTTTTTATGGGTTTGAAAAAAATTAGTTTGGGTTTAAATAATATTTGGTGGGATGTTTTGTGAAAAAATAATAATATTTTTTTTTTTTTTAGAAAACTCAAAATTCAAATAGTAAAATTTGACAAACTAAAAAATTTACTGTTGAATCTTGATTCTTGAGTTTTTCAAAAAAACTTGTTTGAATTATGATATGATTTTGTGTATGTAAACATAAGATAAAACAAAAAACATGATTCTTTTGAACGAGTTTGAAGAAAATTGGTTTAAATTTGGTATTAAAATAATATTATTTAATGAGATATTTTGTGAGACAATTTTTATTTTTTTTTTAAAAAAATGTAGAGTCTATATAGTAAAATTTAAAAAAATTAGCAAAATTTTTTTTCAAAAAATTGCAGAGTCAGTAAAATTTGAAAAAATTAGCAAAAAAAAAAAAACACATCCTAAAACTATATTTAGTATGAATTTCTATTGTTTTAATTATGATATGATTTTGTCTATGTAAACATGAGATAACGTGAAACAAATAACATGATTCCGGTAAGTTTTTTCAATGGGTTCGGTAGGTGTTTTGGTAAGTGATTCCGGTGAGTTTCGAGAGTTTTCCGGTGAGGATTCATAGCCTTTTTTTTGTATCAAAATTTGGTGAATGTCGAAGTTTTGAGTGACGTGCCGACTTCCACCAGAGTGGTTTCTCTGAACTATTTGACATTGGACTGAGTCGAAAATCAATATTCCTCTCGTCGGAGAAAGATTGAAGAAGTTCGGAGTCAATTGGAGTGAAGTTCCGCTGTTTGAGATCGTAGGAGAAGGAATCGTAACTGGAGGAGCCATCTGCTGGGTTTGTCGCTCAATCAATCGGTGCCGTCGTCAATCAACCGGAATTTGATGTCCATCGAAGCTATTGTTGTAAGCTGCTGCCATCCGGCGACCTAGAGCAGTTGGCGGAGGAATCTGCGGTCGGAGATTGAGAGAATTCCATAGATGTTCGTCGTTGATTGTGGGTCATCGTCGCTTGGCTGATTTATGAATTGTTGAGGCCGTTTGTCGTCAATTGGTTTCTCGTATCTCCGAGGTATTATTCGATAACAATTCAGGATATAAATTCACAACATACTTTGATTCACATCAAAATACAATTTAAATAAAAACTCAAATCAACACTCAATTTCAAATTAATTTCAAACTATACCCAAACAAACACTAAAAACTTTTATTTTAGCCAATAGAAGAAACAAACAACATAAGTTACAAAATTTGACAAATACCTAAAATTCTTTTACAAGTACAAGAAATCTAACATAAAAGTTTAGAATGAGTTTTATTTAAAGGGTTTGTTTGTTTGCCATTTTAATTTGAAATTGTTATTAACCTGCATATATATTTTTTTAATAAATATATATTTTTTATAAAAATATAAGTTAAAATACTATTGAAATAAAAATTTAAATCAACGGTCTTATTTCAAATTATTTTTAAATTTCAAAGCAATTCTAATTTTAATTTAGATTGTGGTAATTAATAATAAAAAATCAAATAAAATGTAGTCTTAAAATTATTATTATTATTTTTAAGTATTTTAAGAAATAATTAAGGGTAGCTAATAGATATTAATTGGTTATGGGGTTGGCGTCTAACTCATTTGCTTACTTTAATTGTAACGGCTAGTTGATAATTAAGGTAATTATATATATATATATATATGGTAAATTTTGATTAACATGCCTTAAAATTCAAAATTAATTAATTATATACACGGTAAATTTTGATCAACACGCCTTAAAATCTTCTTCTAACGGCCGCAAGATATAAAATTAATTATTATTATTATTATTATTATTAATTATTTATTTGTATGTATATATAGTCTGCTCTGGCGAATGTGGTCTACATAAAAGAAAGTTCCAGAAGTTCGGTGCTCTCGGAAGCCTTGTATTTCCATTTCCATCAGGTAAGGGTTTCTTTCGGCTCCGGTGCAATGGCGGGATGAACTGCGACGTTGCGGCGGCCATTTCAATCGGTATGTTTTAGTTGAATCCAATATTCTATTCTGATTTGCGATTTCTTCAAACTAATCGATTGAGTTTAATATGTTACCATGTGCTTGGACTGGTGCATCGAATTTGGACTCCCATTCCTCGAGCTGTTCGCCCTTTTCATACAATCACCAGGGATCTTCTTGGCAGCCGTGTCTTTGTATTTACACCAAAAGGAGAGGCAAGATTCTGGTAACTATGTTATTCTGAGTTTGAAATCTATTACTTTTGTTTCTTAATATTTAGCCTTCTCTACAGAGTAAAAATCTTCCCGAGGGTGCAACTGCCATTGATTAAGCATATATGATCCACTCTGATATTGGGTACAAAATGGTTGCTGCAGAGGTATTTTCTTGTATATACTCTGCAGCAGCACTCTGTTTTTCTCTTGTTAAATTGCCTGCAATTCTTGTGTCAGAGCCGAAAATGTTCCTTTGCAGGTTAATGGAAACACTTAGTGCCCGACACAATATCATGAAAGTACGTTTATCGGTTGATCTAAACAATTGATTTGAACACCCTCTTTCATTCAATTGAGAACAAGTGTGATATGTTTTCGTGTCTCCCAATTTCAATATTTCAAGGCATTAAGGAACTTTGATTGTGTTTTCAATCTCAATCTTTCGATGCCGTAAACAATTTTGAGTCCATATATTTCAAATTGGATAAATGGGGCTTTCTTGGAGGGTCAGGGTTTGGTGGGATTAGGTTAATTTGGATATTTCAATTTCAAGCTAACGGGTTCTTGAAATTTTTAGATATTTCAATTTCAAGAAGTGATTTGGAATAGGGCTGTGCAAGGTGAAATTAATTCGTTCAGGAAGCCTTAAGCAAAATGGTGGGAAGATGCACGGATGCTAAGATGGATCTTTAAAGAAAGTACTGGGAGATTCTGAATTTGGTAAACTCTATAAATGAAAGAGAGGTAACAACTCCTGGCAAAGATGTCCCTATCCTAAACTTTATCTCTTTGATGTCTTTACCTGGTTGATATCTTAATCTTTTTTCAAAATTTTAAATTATCATTCCCAACATCTTCAAACTATTCCATCTTTTGTTCTTTTTTGAGATGAGATGAACTCATTTTTTTCTCAATAGAAGTTCTTTCGAACCTTATTTTCTATCTTCGAAATTCAATTATTATACCATATTCTCCAATTTTCCGAATCCTTATTCTGAAATTTCAAAATATTGTATCCTTTGGTCTTTCAAAACTTCATTTCAATTGTATGTCTACGTCAATTTCTTCTATTTTTCAATTCCATTTTTCAAATATCCTAATAATTCATCCTATTCTGTTAAAAAATATGATAATTTTTTGTAAGAAAGATTGAACTCATGTTTGTTTCCATCCAAAATCTCTCGGAACTTTTAAATTTTTACAAAAATTTTCCTTAGTATCTCTGAAAATATTATCTCCTCTTCTCTTTCTAAACATTGGCTTCTTGACTGTTTTACCTGTTCTTCATGCATTTCTCCATTTATTTTGTTGGATTGTCAATTTTCTTTTTACTATTTTTCCTAAATCTATGAATAAAGTGGTTAAAGGCTTGTTGAAATTCCTTAAATATTTAGTTAACTCTTTTCAAAGCAATTTTGGAAATTGGTGGGATTGGTGAATTAAGTGATTCAACAAACCTTAAAGGTAAGGTGGGAAGAGAAATCTAAATCTTAAATGTGCATTAATATATATCTATATATATATTGGCCATTTTTTTTCCTATTTAGTCGAGCATGTTTGCTATTACAAAGCAATTGAGGTTTGAAGTTTCTATAGGTGAATTGGGTGTTTTCATAAACTATTTTTTAAAGTGAAAAGGGAAATCTAAAGCTTCAATATTGTTTTTTCATAATTTTTTTGATTATTAAAAAAATATTGGCCATCTTTTTTCCTCGTTAGTCTTTCCTGTTTACTATTTCAAAACAATGAGGTTTTAAAAATTCCCTTAACTTAACCGACAGTTATAGTGAATTGAGTGATTCCATAAATTATTTCTTAAAGTGAAAAGGGAAATCTAAAGCTTTAATATAGCCTTTTCAAATTCTCTTTGATAATTAAAAAAATATTGGCCATCTTATTTTCTTGTTAGTCTTCCTGTTTAATATTACAAAACAATTGAAGTTTTAAGATTTCCCTTAATACTGACAGTGATAGTGAACTGGGTGATTTCTTAAACTATTTTTTAAAGTGAAAAGGGAAATCTAAAGTTTCAATATTGTTTTTTCAAAATTTTTTTGATTATTAAAAAAATATTGGCCATTTTTTTCTTTTTACTATTACAAAACAATTGAGGTTTTAAAATTTCCCTTAACTGACAGTTATAGTGAATTTAGTGATTCCGTAAATTATTTCTTAAAGTGAAAAGGGAAATCTAAAGCTTTAATATTGGCTTTTTCAAATTCTTCTTGATAATTAAAAAAGTATTGGCCATCTTTTTTCCTTGTTAGTCTTGCCTGTTTACTATTACAAAACAATTGACGTTTTAAGATTTCCCTTAATACTGACGGTGATAGTGAATTGGGTGATTCCATGAACTATTTCTTAAAGTGAAAAGGGAAATCTAAAGCTACAACATTGCCTTTTCAAATTCTCTTTGATTATTAAAAAAATATTGGCCATCTTTTTTCTTCGTTAGTCTTGGTTGTTTACTATTACAAAACAATAATGGTTTTAAAATTTTCCTTAATATTGACGGTGATAGTAAATTGAGTGATTCCATAAACTATTTTTTAAAGTGAAAAGGGAAATTTAAAGCTACAATATTGCCTTTTCAAATTCTTTTTGATTATTAAAAAAAATACTGGCCATCTTTTATCGTCGTTAGTCTTGCCTGTTTACTATTAAGAAACAAGTGAGGTTTTGAAATTTCCCTTAATACTAATGGTGATAGTCAATTGGGTGATTCCATAAACTATTTCTTAAAACGAAAAGGAAAATTTAAAGCTTCAATAATGCTTTTTCAAATTTTTTTTGCTTATTTTTTCTTATCTTTGTTACTCTTACTTGCTATAGCTGACTAATTGAGGTTTGGGTTTGTTCTCCCTTAATACGGTGATGGTGAGTTAATGATTCTACAAACCATTTCCTAAAATTGAAGGTGAAACATAAACCTTAAATGTGATTTTTTAAATTTTCTTTTTATTGTTGCTTATTTTCCCTTTGTTACTTTTGCCCGTCATAGTTGAACGATTGAGGTTTTGAGAGTTCTCTTTAAAACTAATAGGATGGTGGTTTGGGTGATTCCAAAACCATTTGTTTTAGTAGAAGGAAAAATTTAAACATTAAATGTTCTTTTTCAAGAAAATTTGGTTATGCTTTGTGTATTAGTTCTACGTGGCAGGACACATCCAACCAATTTTTTGATTCTTGGTGAGTTTTGCAAATATAATGTTTCATATTGTGAGCACTTGTGTGTTGTGTTTATTTCTATTTTTGTATCTATTAGTTCTAATTAATGCTGTTTATATCATTGTCTAGACCAATGTTCTGATCAATTTTATCTTTTTCATATCCATTTAGTATTGTTTGATTTGAATTTTTTATGTAATATGTTTTGTTGTTTGTGCTGATATATTATGTTGTATATGGTGCAAGGGACGATGATTATTGTAATAACTCTATTTATTGTTGTAACTATATAAATTTATCCACTCAAAACATACACTTAACAAGTTTTGTTTAAATGGTGCAAGGCACCATTATCATTTTAATATGCTTTGCTCTTATTTTAAAAAATGTGCATATGCATTGATGCTGAAAAATCACTTAAGGTTTATGAAGAGCACTGTATGTTGGTTTTTTTGTGCCAAGTTTCAGGATATTTGTGATGTCATAAAGTTTCTACGCAAGATTCAGGTAGGAGTATTTATGAAACAAGGAAAAAAGTGATTCAAACAAGATGAATTCGAAAAGGATTTCGACCAAAGGGGACGGTACATTAATTTTATTAAGTTGTTGACTTTGTTAAGGATCTATGATAATATACTTTTCAAATTTTCTTTAAATTCCTTTGGTAAAGAAGAGCAATATGGATAATTCATCTGGATTTGCTGCTGGAGACACCAACTCAAATGGACTGAACTTAATGAAACCCACCAAAAATCAGGTAGTTTTCGAATCCTAATCTATTATATTAATTCATTCATTTATTTATCATGCACTGTACTTATATGTGTTTAATGCATTTTTCTATTCAACAGTATTGTGTATTAGCTATTTTTTAGAAGAACTTTTCTAGAGTCAGAGATTGATTTGGATGTGCTTTCAACCAAAGGATGGTGTTTTCTTTTTATTAAACTTTTCACTTTATTAAGTATCTATTGACATATATTTTCTATAACTTTTTAAATACCTTAGGTGAATGGTGTGTAGTGGACTATTCATTCGGATTTGCGGCTGGAGAGATACCAACTTAAGTGGAATGGAGTTGCACTAATTTGTATTATGATGCTTTTTGTTTTGGATTGCATAATAACAATTTTTTTTTTTTTTTTTTTTTTTCTTATAATGAAGGAACTGCAAACTAGGAGAAGTGATTGAAAAGGTTGTATTTGGATGGGATTTCGACCAAGACAAGGTATATTTTTTAATTCCAAGTCAGGGTTGCTGCTGCGTGTCTCATTGGTAAATGTTGCATTTCCATTATTTTCCTGAGATGAGTAAGCATTACAATCTTTTGAGTTTCATTGATGATGTTTCATATCTCTTTAGTTTAAATATTTGTTTGCTACATGGCATATATTTCCACCTATAGGCCTTTGCCTTCCATATGTGGTAAATTTGGTGTTTTTAGTTCGAACATGTAACATGGAAAGATTCTGTTTCCCAAAGCTGTTGTGCTTTGACTCATAAGAAATAAAAGGTCCTTTCGTTTTGTTGGACTTTTCTTTCCTTAGTAGATTATCAACTTATATACTTGTCTGAATAGATATTTTCTAATTTTCTACTTTCCTTACAATGTCAAAATTGAATGGAAGGAATAGCTCGCCTCTCTGAGATAAGTTTGAATTAGTTTTTAAACTACGTTGGAAGACTGATAAATCCAAAGTGACTGGATAAGATAGAACGGGGAGAAAGGAAGAATGCTTGATGGAGCTTCTCACCATTGAAATGAAGCTTCTGGGTTATGGTATCTATTTTCATGCGAGTTTCAAATTCTTCATATCGTTCTTTCTATAAAATTTTAAAGTAATCTTCCCTTTATCTTTTCAAAAATTATATCACTTATATTTTAAAGTAATCTTCCTTTATCTTTTCAAAAATTATATCACTTATATTTTAAAGTAATCTTCCTTTATCTGTTGTATAGTATTGTTTTGATGTGTTGTTTGTTCTTGTGTTTATATACGGTATGAAGTGCTTCTGGTGTCTTTTTGTGCTGCTTGTATTTTTTTGTTTATGTTTGTGTGGTGTGTGGTGTGCTTATATATTTATGTTATAGCGTGCTTCTCGTATCTTTTTGTGCTACATGTGTTGGTTGTTTGTATTGTTATGCTACTTTGTTTGTGCTTATGTGTTGTGTTTATGTATGATGTGATGTGCTTATGATGTCTTTTTATGCTTGTGTTGTGTTTATTAATATATGGTGTGTTTGTAGTGTCTTTGCTTGTATTGATCGGCTAGTATTTTTATGGTGGGCTACATGTTCCAAATTGTGTTGGTGGTGTGTGGTTGGGCTAAACCTACTGTGCTTATGGTGTTGTGTTGTGTTGTTTGTGTTTATATATGGTATGTTTTTGGTGTCTTTTAGCGCTGCTTGTATTGTGTTGTTGTATTATTTGTTGTTTTGTGTTGTGTTTGTATATGGTATAGCGTGCTTCTTGTATTTTTTTTTGCTACATGTGTTGTTTGTATTGTTATGCTACTTTGTTTTTGCTTGTGTGTTGTGTTTATGTATGGTATGACGTGTTTGTGGTGTCTTTTTATGCTTGTGTGTTGTGCTTATTGTATATACTTATATATATATATATATATGGTGTGCTTGTGGTGTTTTTTTCTGTTGCTTTTGCTGGCTGTTTGTATTGTTATGTTGGGTTGCATATGCCAAGTTGTGTTTGTGCTTTGTAATTGAGCTGAATTGTGTTGGTGGTGTGTAGTTGGGTTAAACATACTATGCTTATGGTGTTGTGTTGTGTTGTGCTGTTTGTATATATGGTATCACATGTTTGTGGTGTCTTTTGGTGTTGTGTTTATATATGGTAGAGCATACTTATGGTATATCTTTTTGCTACAAATGCCGATTTGTAATTTTTTGCTATTTTGTTTGTGCTTGTGTGTTGTGTTTATGAATGATATGATGCTCTTGTGCTGTCAATTACTGTTGCTTTTGCTGGTTGTTGGTATGGTTACGTTGGATTTGTTGTGCTTATGTGTTGTGTTTATGTATGGTATTGTAATATTTTGGTGTCTTTTGTGTTGCTCTCACCATGTTGTTTGTATTGTAAAATTGCATTGTTTGTGCTCGTGGTATTGTTTTGCATTGCTTGTGCTTGAGTGTTTTGTTTATGTATGATATGATTTGTTCTTCATTGTGGTATATATTAAATTCAATTAATGTTGTTTAATTTAATGCATGTATGTGAGAATGTTGTTTCTAGTGCCCATTTGAGTTTAGCTGGCCATTATATTCATAATTAATAAATATATTCGACTCAATTGTAGCTTGTGTAGATGTTATGTTTTTTATTATGTCTTTTGTTGTTTGTGTGGTGTGTGGTGTGTTTATATATTTATGTTATAGGGTGCTTTTTGTATCTTTTTGTGCTACATGTGTTGGTTGTTTGTATGTTATGCTATTTTGTTTGTGCTTATGTGTTGTGTTTCTTTATGTTGCGATGTGCTTGTGGTGTTTTTTTATGCTTGTTTTGTGTTTATTAATATATGGTGTGTTTGTAGTGTCTATGCTTTTATTGGTTGTTATTGTTATGTTGGGTTACATGTGCCAAATTGTGTTGGTGGTGTGTGGTTGGGCTACACATATGCTTGCAGTGTTGTGTTGTGTTGTTTGTGCTTGTGTTTATATGTGGTATGACATATTTGTGGTGTCTTTTGTATTATTTGTTTTTGTGTGTTGTGGTTGTATATGGTATAACGTGCTTCTTGTATTTTTTTGTGCTACATGTGTTGGTTGTTTGCATTGTTATGCTACTTTGTTTTTGCTTGCTTGTGTTGTGTTTATGCATGTGGTATGATGTGTTTGTGATGTCTTTTTATGCTTGTGTGTTGTGCTTATTATATATATATATATGGTGTGTTTGTGGTGTGTTTTTGTGTTACTTTTGTTGGCTGTTTGTATTGTTATGCTGGGTTGCATGTGCTAAATTGTGTCGGTGCTTAGTAATGTTGAGCCGAATTGTGTTGGTTGTGTGTAGTTGGGTTAAACATACTATGCTTATGGTGTTGTGTTGTATTGTTTGTGCTTGTGTTTATATATGGTGTGACATATTTGTGGTGTCTATTGGTGTTGCTTGTACTGTGTTGTTTGTACTTGTATACTGTGTTTATATATGGTAAAGCATACTTATCGTATCTTTTTCTGTTACATATGCCGGTTTGCAATTTTATGCTACTTTGTTTATGTTGTGTTTATGAATGACATGATGCGCTTGTGGTGTCTTTTAGTGTTGCTTTTGCTGGTTGTTGGTATGGTTACGTTGGATTGGTTGTGCTTATGTGTTGTGTTTATGTATGGTATTGTAATATTTTGGTGTCTTTTGTGTTGCTCTCACCATGTTTGTATTGTAAAATTGCATTGTTTGTGCTTGTGTTATTATGTATGGTATGGTGTGCTTGTGGTATTGTTTTGCATTGCTTGTGCTTGAGTGTTTTGTTTATGTATGATATGATTTGTTTGTTGTTCATTGTGATATATATTAAATTTAATTAATATTGTTAACTTTTGTGTTTAGCTTGCCATTATATTCATATTTAATAAATATGTTTTGACTCAATTGTAGCTTGTGTAGATGTTATGCTTTTATTATGTGTTGCTAGTGTTGATATATATATTATGACTAGTTTTATCTTCTTCATATCCGAATTTGGCTTTAATGTGAATATTGAAAAGTAAAAACCTTGTTCCATTCATAACTATTGATTGACGAAAGATAGACCTTTTGTGCTTAACTTGGTGTGGTAATTGCATAAGTACATCGCGTTGTCCAAATCTTTAATCAACTCTTTTTTTTTTTGACAAGTTTTTCCTCTGTACAATGATCAAATTTTAAGCACACAAATTGAACTTACAATGTAACTCTAGTTTCAATTCCCTGTTAGGGTTTGATGTTGTCGTGTCTCATTGGTAAAATGTTGCGTTTCTATAACTTTCCTAGATGAGTAAGCATTACATTCTTTGGAGTTTCATTGATAATGTTTCATATCTCTTTAGTTTAAATATTTGTTTGCTATATGGCATATATTTCCTAATACAATTATACAAAGCAATGAGGTTTCAAAGTTTACTTTTTCTTAAAGTGAGAAGAAAAATCTAAAGCTTCAATATTGTTTTTTTATTTTGTTATTTTTTCCCATCTTTGTTACTCTTGTTTGCTAGCCTAATAATTGAGGTTGGAGTTCTTGCTTAATATTGATAGTGATGGTGAGTTGGTGATTTCACAAATCATTTTTTAAAATTGAAGTGAAAATATAAACTCTGAAAGTGCTTTTTCGAATTTTCTTTTAATTGTTGTTTCTTGTCCCTTTGTATTTTTGCATGTCATAGTTGAACAATTGAGATTTTGAGAATATTTTTAAAACTAATAAGAATAGTGATTTGAGTAATTTCATAAACTATTTTTTAAAGTGGAATGAAAATTTTAAATCTTAAATGTTTTTTTCAAGAAAATTTGGTATGTTGTTTTTCAGCAGATATACTTCTAATTATTTATTTATTTTTATTAAAAAAATTTAAGTTGAGGATTAGTGTAGAGCATCTAGGCAAAAGTAATTGTTATATTTCACCTTACAAATGTTTTGATTTATGCATTTTTCAGTGTATGCACTTCTTCATTATGCTATCGGTTTGCCTATTTATTTCTTATCTTTTGCCCAAATCTATGCATTAAAAATTCATTCAAATTTGTTTAAATGATTTACTCTTTCTAAAATATTTTTCAAGCCCTTAAAACTAATTGGGTATTCCACATATTATTTTTGAAAGTTAGAGTAGAATACCATATCATTGGTTTTTTATTTTCTTTTGCAAATTTTTGGCCACTTTTTTGGGTTTGTTTGTTTAGTGTTTTGTTTTGAATTTTATTATTATTATTTTGTTTAGTATGGAGTATAGGGAATTACATTGGTAATATAAAAAATAATATTTATGTTGATTTTTTGAGAAAATAAAATATACATATCTATATTGAAAATCATTGGAAAAAAAAAGGGGCAAACAAACCTCTTGTTTGCCATGTCCTAATAGGGTGGCTTGGGTGACTCAACTTATGGGGAGCGAATTATAAATTTTAAATTCGGTTGCAGGTTTATTAAAAATCAATTTTGAACTTAATAACGCTATGAATCTATTTAAACTAATAATTATAAAAAATAATTATATATACATTTATAATTATTTAAATTTATAATTTAATACTTTTATTACTTTTACTATTATTTTTTTTTAACTTTGTCTATCATTTTTTCAAGTCACCTTCGTCACTGTTCAAAGCGCCTTGGTGATTCGGAGTTTTAAAATTTAACATATATATATAATATTTAATATATAATATTTAATGTCTAATTTTTTTTATTATATTACCGATAAAAACAAGAAAAAAAAAATCTATGTATATATATATTATATAAAAATAGGCGGCGGCGGCTATCGGGTTGAACAACACATAATATTACTACAAATAACACGTTATATACGTTAATATAATAC